CATACGTATCCTGATTTTATACCCAAAGGATTCAAATTTCTCGAAGCGCAATCAAAATAACGAGAACGTTGAAACAACATGATATCGTATTAGCGTTATCGTAATTCGCGGAATTAATTTCACTTGCCACCATACCAGTGCAAACAGAAATATCGTTTTAAAGTGAAGAGAAAATTCAGAATGTTCTTGATCGATGCACGTGAAAGTGTACACGGAGACACATTTTTTTTATAAGAACGAATTTTAAGATTGTTAACGTATTACATCGAAATTGTGCGCTCCAGTCATTTCGTTAATAATGTAATCCAAGTACTTTGAAGCAAGATTAGAGGTAGCGATCATTTATCGACGTAATGAGTTAACTTTTGATTAAAATTATGTATTAGTGATTTACAGCGAGGGTCTCGGCGGAATATGATCGAATCGGGAGTATAGAGGGGCGATTAGACATTGGCATAGGGGAACTAAAACGAGCCGTGAGAGAATTCAAAATCGAAACGCGCCATCAAATACGCATTCGGGAGAGGATTTACAAGTTATTCAAATATTCCCCGCTCGGTAAGCTATGATGAATACTCGGTGTTCCAATTTAATCCCCTTCGAAGCCCGTCCGCCCTCAAATCACATCCTTGCCGCTCGGTACTCGACCCTCCCCTGATTTCAGACGATTCGCCATTAATTCGTATCGAAAAAATTTTGCGCGACCTCGAGGAATCGCTGGCATGAAAAACATCCCTCCCGGAATAATTTGCAGTAAAGCGGATTTCGGTGCACCGCCAGTAAATTCGAACGAATCATTGATCGGTCTGGCACGAGCACAAATGTTAAGTGAGATTAAAAAAGGATAGGATAATATAATCCCATATTATTTAATCGTTTTTATCAGTAAAATTAATAAAATATTCTGTGAATTTCACCTGTGACGTTTACTGGATATATGTTTAAATTATAAATAGATCTTTCTTCTATACATCCCTCTTTTTAATATCGGTTTTTGTATGATGGTGAAATATTAAAAGTGGATTTTGTTGTATTTAAATATACTATATATATATATATATATACATATATTATTTCGAGGGATATAGTTATTAATTTTTGAAGTATCAAAACGCGTGAATCTGAATTTTTAGTGTATTTCAAACGTGAAGAGAATACGCGAAGTTTCGGTATACCGACTATCTACATTATTTGAAATCTGGCACAGCATATATATACAATATGAAACTGTTGGTCCATTTTTGCAATCCGTGCTTACATTGTGGAAAGTAATCATTGCAACTGGAAGTTGCGGGATTTTATAGAGACATTGTGGCAGTGCGTTGGATGTGCGTTGCTCATTTTTACATAAAATTCTATTTTTGTAGACAGACAGCATAAAACAGTCATACAAAGCGCTATAGAAAGTAATTTATAATAAAAACTCTCTCTCTCTCTCTCTCTCTCTCTCACATGTAAACTTGTCTTTAAATTCACTAAAAATAAGCACGAAGCAGCGTAGTATATAAATATAAGAAGTACATGCCATTTAAAACATATATAAATAATATTAAATATAAACATTAGATTATACCGTAAATGTGGATGACTTGGGACAAGTATAGGTGACTTGGGACAGCATGTATTTTTGTTAAATTCAATCATGGAGTCCATCCATGAATCTCTAAAGGAAGTTTAAGTTTTAAACTTAACTTAACTTCCTTTAGAAACTCATGAATAGATTCCATGATTGAATTTAACAAAAATACATGCTGTCCCAAGTCATCTACACTTGTCCCAAGTCACCCACATTTATGGTACAATATTATATAAAAAAATTTCTCATAAATATTCATGTAAATAATCCATATTTTTTTCATAATAAAATTAATCACAATAAAATATTTAACATATATTATACATATAATATTATATAATCTATAACGGAATATAAAAATATACCGGGAATTATTTCTTAGTAATATAAAGAATATTATTGTTCCATTACATTGATTACGAATATTCCTGTAGATATATAATCCGTATTGTTCATAATATAAAATTGAATCATATAGATAAATTTGAATCATATAGATAAGAGATACAGAGTATATCCGAATGTATCTGAGGGACACTTATAGCGATTGCATCGTATGCGGGCGCAAAGTCGCGATGCGATTGAGAGATGGACAAGCATCATTATTTGAATACGTCGTCGTGTCGCAGACGTCGCACATCGCAAAACCCGCAGAGTCAAAGACATAGAAAATGGACTGCGCGATCCGTATCTAAGTAGTATTCAAGTGGTTGACAATAATGAGAGAGAGAAACCGTGTGAAAGACGGCCAATCTCCCTCTCATTCTCTTTCCCATCATACTGTTGAATGGAAAGAGATAGAGATAGCCGTCTTCCACGGTCCCTTTCTCTTACTTTTATCGACCATTTTGACACACGAATCGCGCAGTCTATTCTCTATATCTTTGCGCAGAGCTTTATGAAGCGACGTTAACCTTCTAGCGAGTATTGTCGCACGTGCGGGCAGGGAATTAATACCACCAAAACGAATTGATATTTTGATCACGCAGGCTGGAACGACGCTCGCGCGGGCTCGCGTAAACGTAATTTCGTTTGTGCGTAATTGAGCGTACTCCGGGAGAGATCGCGGATGGTTAGTATCGTTCGTAAAACTCGATAGCACCACTGTGATAGTTATGCCACGAAATTGCTCCGAATTTGCCATTCCGTCGGTTTTGATCCAACCATAACGCGCAGTGAAGGAGAAGCATTAAAATTTATCAACCCAATTACTGCTACTAAAACGCGATAAATAATTTATTTCCTCGTTAATGAAGGATTCGTCTATATATGCGAATGCAAACTTTATAATATTTATATTAAAAAAAAATAAACAATATTTACACTGAAAAAAATGCATGTAATTTTACATAGAAATTACATGTTTATGACTGGAAAATTACATAATATGATTGGAAATTTACAATTACTAGTAAATTTCCAATCATATTTAAGTAATTTAAAAAGATAGTTTTCGAGTTATAAACATGTAATTTCCATGTAAAATTACATGCTTTTTTCAGTGTATATTTAAAAAAAATTATATTTAAAAAAAATAAAAATCAAGTAGATGGATAAAAAGGGCCATATTTGGTTAAGGTGGGTCTAATATTTATATGTAAATTTTTATAATTTCCAGTTCAAGTATAAATTGCGCGCCGATTGCTTGTCGATCTTAAAACAGTTCTAGACTAAAGCTATTAGGGTATAATGTAATATCACAAATTAAATTGACAAGCGATTTAATATTATTGATGCTAATGATTTTTTAAATACTGTAAAGAATTTATTGCGAAAGATATCACCTCAGCAGGGATTCGAACCTCGATCTCCCTCATTCCGTATAAGCGTCTTACCAATTCGAAACTATTATTAAGCACTAAAACCCGCTTTGATCGAATATGGCTCTCTTCACTCATTTATGTTGCATTTTCCTCAGTATATCTTGGTCCATTTTCATTTAATATTAAAAAATTAAATATTAAATAATACATTAATTTGAAAAATTCGTAGCGCTAAGAATTTTAAAATTCAAACAGTTGTAACTCTAAAAATAAACGAAATTTAAATTTATAAAGGGGTTTTAAAGTTTAAAAACTCTATCTTCGAAAAGTCTTTTTGAGTTTCTGTGAGTTTGGTAATTTTTACATTCAGAAAACTACAAGCTAGACAAAATGAGAAATTTTCTTCTCACTTTGTGGATCTGTCATGTATCCAAAAAAGAATTTGCGAAAATTTTTTACTTTCTAACGTGAAAGCTTAAAGTTTTCTCTACAAAATCGTTTTTTAAAGATGTTCCTCAGATTTTTTTATTACTGAGTTATCGCAGAATAACTGGAGTATTTTGACTTGATTGTTCAGATGCTCGCAATTCCGTTAGAAGTTATCACACATACTGCTATTCAAAAAAGATTCTTGAAGCTAAAACTTTGCTTTATCAAATGTCAAATTGATCTGTAATCGTCAAATTTAAAAAAAAACATGTAGCTATGATATAAATGAAGTAGCGCTACTAACTTTTCCAATCCAATATAAATGTCAGAGATACGTAAGACTTTGCGAATCTCTCTCAACGAAAATAAAAAACAGCCGAAAGTAAAAGATACCTCTTCAACTCTCTTACCACTGAAGTAAGGAAGTATATTTAAGTATCGCATCTACAGCAGATAACACGAGAGCAAGACAAGCTGGTCGATAGGAAATGTTGCTCGATAAACCGACAATGAAACTCGATAAACCGGCTCTTTTATCATACGAAATAATAGCTTTGCGATGCGTGTAGCGTCACGAACGAGCGTCGATAGAAAGGGTGAGTTGCTAGGCGGATCAGAGCTGACGAGGACGACGATACGTCGAGGGGTTGCGCTTCTATGGGGTTGAGAGCACGCGGTCGCCTTTGTAGCGACGCGGGGCGGAATGCGGCGCGGGTAATAATGGATAATAATGCTTAAACGGACGATCGTCAACTCGACTCGAATCGACTCGACTCGACTAGATTCGACCGCGTATCGGCGATTCGATTGTCTCCGCTATTGCACGGCCCATCCATGCGCGTCATGGCTGTCGAAACGCGTCATTCATGCGGCACAAACTCACTCATCCTCTCTTCCTCTTTCGTCCTCTCAAGCGCGTTGCAGCACTCTCATCTCCAGTCTGGCAAGAGTACAATGTCGCAGAGCACGTGCAAACGGCGCCGTTATACGGAACGATGGCGCCGTTTGCAGCGCTGAAAGATATCGCGATCAGGCAGCCCGAGTAAATGAGAAATTCTTCCACTCAATTCTTCTTCTTTTATGCATCGATGTTAATTTCTTACTATTATTTTTAGTTTGTACTGATATCAGTACGAAGTAACGATTTGTAATGACCTGTTATGCGTTATTTTGAAATAACATTTGAAATAGATAATAGTCGAGTAAGAGATTTGTAATTAATCTGGACTTACCTGATTCTTGCCCTTGAGAACAAGTACATTGGTAACACGGCCGAACGGCAGACCTAGATGGATGATCTCTGCCTCTGTCACCTCGTTAGGTATGTTCCTGATATGAATGACTCTGGAAGGTTTGCCGCTGTGACTCTTGTCGAGCTTAACCTGAAACAAAAAGAATGGATCCCTGGTGAGTCGTCGAATAAAATGAGCTGAGAACTTAATGTCTACGTCACCATAAATATATAGCCCAGAAAGGAAAGAAGATATAAATGGTCTCATAAATAAGAAAAGATGTTAGGATCATGTAATACTTAAGAAAATAATCTCATTACTGTTCTCGCAAGACTACAACACGGTTAAATGTCCAAATATAGTTAAGCTCTCATGTATGTGTTTTAAAATAATGAAACAGTCTGTTTCGTAAAGACCATAATATTTGCATATCGTTCTACCATCATAATTATAAATTAATTACCTTATCTTTTTAAGTATTATATTACTCGTTCAAAAGTTTGGAAGTAATTTATAAACTTGTAAGGACATACATTAAAAAATCAACTATATAAAACTTTAATTGCTGCTATGAAATAATACGTTACAATAATTTTAACTGTTAACTACTTAAAATTAATTATTAGTATCTGAAATTTCATATTTTTTTTATTTTTATTAAAATGTCTATTTCTTTTAGTTATTGCCATACAAATTCGAGACATCCTACTTATTAATTTTTAAAACTAATTATTAAATATTTTTAGTCACACTGTAAAAAATTAAAAAATCAATCTCTTTATAATGTCAGACTGTAATTAATAAACAAATAATAATTATGATGATAACAATCACACTCAAACCATGAAAACTTGTTATTTTTTTATAATAAGACAATGACATAGCATGTTCATTTGATAAAATTCTTTAAATGAAATATTTCCTTGGAAGTATAATTAGAAATAAATAATAGACTATTCAACGTACTATTATTTGTTTCTAATTATATTATACTTTCAAGGAAATATATTTTATTTAAAGAATTTTATCGTGAATCGAGTGTACCGTTTTAACGTAGTTAAAACAGACAATCAAGTTCTCATATCACGATGGCGTTTTGGAAGTATCGACGCTGTTTTGATCTAAAAAAAAAAAAACAGTGCTTCCAAACTTTTAAAGGATAATGTATAAATTTTAACACAGAGAAATTTAACAAATCTCTTTCATCTCCAAGACGGTTGGCCAACGATTAGTAAACATCATTTATCAAGGAATACAGAGGCAAAGATTATCTATAAAGACCTATCGCTAACAAAACATGCCGAAGCATCAAGCATACATTGATACCAATCCTTCGAGTTAAATAACATTTTATTATTTTTGATTTCCATGTGTGTCAAAATGTAAATCAATCCATGTTAGTTTCAAATCATTCATATTAAAATATGCGTTTAATAAATAATAGATTACATTGAGTCAAATTTAATATATTTTCTTGAGTTAAATTATTTAACGTCGTCGTTTTAATCAAATTAACGATATATTATGTAAGAGAAGCGGCGACCTATAGAAATGGGAAAAATAATTCAAATTATATAGGTTTAATAATATAATTTGACATTATATGAATTTAACAGTGTCGTCTGCATAATTACTATAAACTTTGACACTTAAGAAATGTCAATTTTCTAGTCTATAAAATCGCCGGAAGAAAGGAGACCGATTCGGGTTCTTACGACGCGGGGCGTGAAGGATCAAGCTCACACGATTCTAGTAGAAAAAGACGGATGCAGTCAGCCAGTCTGGCGAAAGTTTCATCTGGAGTTCATTCTCTCGCGCGAGGTAGAGGAGAACTTTTAGAATTCTCGGCCACTTATATTATTCCATATGCGGCAGAGGGAAGTCGAAGAACGCGCAAGATATGCACGCATATACCCTCGTTGTGTACGTGTGTACACTTACTTAAGCTTGTGCCGCCGGGAGCGGTGTTTTCAATCACGGTTCTATCTAGTCGAACTCGAGAGTGCTTCCTCCGTCCTCGCTTCGGAAAGAACCCACCGAAATCCATCCTGCTCTCTCGGCTTCGCCGCCGGTTTTAGTCTTTTTTTTTTCCTTACCACTTTTCCTAGCCCGTTCTGAGGCTCTCTTAGAAACGTCGCTGAGGTTTAGTCGGGCTTAACTGATCGGAAAACGCGCTTCTTACCGGGTTAAGGAAGATGGATATTTCAGAGATGCCCGATCCTTTATCCCCCTCCCCTCCCTCTCATCCTTTTTTTACGTCTTGGAATGGAGCTCGAACGAGTGGCGGATATTTTTATTTGAATTAATCGATACAATGTAGAGCAGAACAAGAGGTAGATAATTAAAAATAATTTGTGGATTACGAGTTATTAGCGGATAATTGATTTAATTAATCAGTTGATCAATTAATCGTGCGAACAAATTTGTATGTATAGCGTAGGGGAAATATAAATATCCCACGGCAATGAAATGGAATATATAATAAGTGGAATTTTTAAGTTATATAATATGCTCATCTCACAAACCGAACCAATTTCATAAATAGAATCGCGTATAATCACATTATATTATATACCGCAGACAAAGAATATAGACCAAGCAGTATTTTGAAACAATTGATAATTCTGACATTATCAAATATAGGAATAGATAAAATAATATAAGCATCTGAAAAATATTCTATCTACTTGTATTTTATTAATAAAGAATTGTAGCCTACCATTTGTCCTTAATACTTGTCCTTACTATTCCATCAAGAATGATGGAATAGTAATACGTGAATAGTGTAGTAACTGCTACAGTGCAATTTTCTAGCAGAATATCTTATAATTGCTCAAAAGATATTAGAGGAGGAAATCTGTTTTTCACTCTACTCTTCAAAACTACATACAAGTAATATTTAAATCAAGCGATTACCTGGACAGGAAAGATATTGGTTTTGGAGAACAAAGAGCAATTTTGGAATATAAAAAAATAATTTATGTATATATAAGCAGTTGAAAGAATTACTATTAAAAGAATACTACAACATTCCATTAGTAATTATTTAATTAGAAAATTGAGTGAAAAGAAAATTTCATTCTCCAATATCATTTTATATAAGCAATTGAAAAATGTTTTACTGAAAGAATAGTACAACGTTCCAATAATAATTGATAATTATTCAAACATTGAAAAATTATTCCAACAAGGAATAGAATATGTATTAAAAGCAAATAACAGACCAACCTCTTATTAATAAAACAAATAGTAAAATAAATAGCGTATTTCTCAGGTGTTAATATTGTTATGTATGTCTATCCTTCGTAACGTACATTCAATTAATTTTCAATTTATACTTATTTTCAACTTATTCTCAATTATGTAGAGCAAATCCGAATACTTAATAGAAAAATCCTATGAGAATTAAACGGTTTATCTTCTGCCTCATAAACATCGGGATTGGTCGGCATTAACTCAAGTATAAGAGGGAGTCGGTGAATTATGTCCGGCAGTATTTGACTACTTGCGAATGAATTAAAAATCAACTCTCGCCAATGTCCCTTTACATTCTTCTCAATTTTACCGACGTCCTTTTTGCAACCACGACGTCGCGTTTTAATCTCGCTTGTACGAACTGTTGTAACGGCGACGACGACGGCGACGACGACAACACAACAATGAAATCGGATTATAAGCGAATTGCCGTGCCGTATCGCGGTGGTATACCAACGTCGTAATAAGGTGGCTTCCATGACAAGGGTGGCCGACGACAGTTCGTTATGAAAAGTGTTTCTAGCTCAACAGGTCTAAAATCGCATCGCAATGAAACGACCATGATTTAATTTTTGGTTGCGAATCTTTAAAAATATAAAAAAAGATGTAAAGGAATATAAAAAGAATTAATACATCGCTCATTTGCTACAACGACATAACTAAAAAATTGTCATTTTTAGTTGCTTACACAAAAAGAACGGATATGTAAAGAAAAAAAAGAAAGAATATATTTTAAAAGGACACATAATTTTATTCGTCTACAATCAATTATTACACTAAAATTGCATTTTAAAATGAACATCACAAAAAATTTTAATGATTAAAAATTGTAATTCGTTTTCTATATTTTTTCTTTATTATTTGTATCGTTGTTGTATCTAACAAATCAGCAATATAAGAAACAAGAAAAATTATAAAAGTATAAAAGGAGATGGAGGTGAAATCTCTATCGACGTTACTTCACATATTAATTGTTAGTGATTAATATTGGTACTTTGTAAACTTTATGTACAACATTTAATGTACATATAAAAAAATCAATTACGGAAATTGGAAATCTATTGATTAGAAGCCTTGTCTTAGTGCGCGAGAAAATAATCCCTTGTACGTTCTTGACTCTACGCGAAGCAATAACTCCTTGATTTTCTCGATCGATCCTTTCTAAAGGTTTCTCTGTTAAACGAGGAAACAAAAGGGAATAACAGAGCAACCAGTAGCAAGACTCTAAATGCTCTTTTGTTTCCTACGTCATAATCACCGGTTGTAACACGGTGGTTACAGCAAACGTAATAGAAAGAACGTGCGGTGAGTTGAGAAACAAGCGTTAACCGCACGTCGGAGGAATTGACCCTAAATGCGAAAGTATTTGGAGGAGGCGCGACAGCGACGCGAAGAATTCCGCGAGCGTTCCGGAAAAGTCGAGGATACGACGTGAGTGGCTGTCGAATCCAGAAGAAGGGCCTTAATTGCTCGGTGTTTCTTCGACGTACGCGAAAATCACGCCGTGGAGAAACACGGCCGTCGCGCAAACAAGGTTCGCTTCAAGTGACGTTCATTCACCGTCGAGAATGGCTTCGAGAATCACTATACCACCACCACCATTCCTCCCGTTTCAAGTGCGGACGACGTGTTTCCAGGTTCTCCACTTTGATCGTACATAGGGTGAGGTACCGACACCCTCGTCCTCCTTCGACTTATTTGCTCGACTACGTTCAAAAACATCATCTTAAGTCACTAGTAATTTAATACAATTGTTATTGTATTTAAATTAAGTTTAGTTGTATTGTTGCTATTTTTTAGTATATTATTCTGTCAACTGAGGCATTTATAAGTGTTACAAGACATATATGGCCGCTTATGATAAAAGGCGCAAATTTATTGTAAGACGTTTGTGG